TAAAGTATATAAAAATAATTACTTTCTGTAATTTATAATAATTAATATTATTATTTAAAATAAAATAAAATTATAGTTAATTTAATTAATAAACTTACGATCTATAATATTTTAAGTAAAATAAGTAAAATTTAAATTTTATAAATTATAATTAAATGTACAATATATATAATAAATAAAAATAACTTACTAACTAAAATGCTGCAATTAAAAATTTTAAAATAAATTAGTTTAATTATTTATATGAAAAATTGAAAATTCTCTTACTCCCTATGGTATTATTGATCATTAGATAATATTAATTAAAAAATTTTAATTGTATAAGATAAAATATAGAAAAATTAAATGGCTTACAATCTAAGTTTCAATGATAAAGGGAATAATAAATAATTAAAAATTGTTTGACTTAACAAATAGAGAAAGAAATATTCATTACCATTTAATTCTGTAAATGTAGGTGTATCAGGAGCATCCGGAACTGGCTCTATCATAATGTATTTTTCAAAAAATTTTTGAAATTAATTACTAAGATTATAATTATATATATAGTTCTACACGCTCCAAACAACTAGTATTAAAATAATATTATAAATATTCATACCATCTAATTCGAACATTGTGAATAAAATAAGTATTAATTATTTGCTATCGTATTTACCTTTATCACTCGAAATTAATTATTTTTTTAGTAAATAAAAATATAATGAATATAGTTAAACGAATACAGTATTATTAGTTATTATATTTAATTTCATCATTTAAGGTTAGTTTACATTACAATTTTCGTATTGATTTATTTACCTTCTTCGTCACTTGATGGTTCTGCTAAATTTGATAAAATGTAATTTTTAGTAAAAATTAACGAATTATTATAACATTAAATATGGTTGATAATACATTGAAGGGAAGTACCTTCGATTTCTTCTAAAGAGGATGTTTCCTTAGCATATGAAACTTGCTCTGTGAATTTATGAAAAAAATTTTTAAATCATCAAATAAACTCATTCGATGCATTATTACTTTTTTTTTTGTTTGATGAAAATATTTTACCTTTATTGTTACTATCAGACATTGTTATAAATTTGTAAAATAAAATTTTTGTTAAAAAAAAAATATATAAATATAAAATATTATCTTGTATAAGTATAATGGTAAGACATATTAAGATAATTGTAATTTTTCATGTCCATTTCACAATTTGATTAAAAATCCTTCTTATACCGATATTACATACCAATATTTTCTTTGTCCCTTAATGAAATTCCAAACTCCGAGTATAATAAAAATCATTTCTTAGAACAACATATATTTAATCAAAATTTTAACGGTGAATTTTTGATATTTACACAATTTGAACTAAAATATAATAATAAAGGATTTGAATATTTTCAAGAAAACTTTGAAATAACTATATCAAAATTTAAAGTTGCAATTTATAATTTAAAACAGAATGCTTTGATTTGACAAAAATTAATATTCTGTTATTTTAGCAATAAAAATATTTCAGTGGTATTATTTTATGTGTGAATTATAAAAGTTTGTTGTCTAACCGAATTGTTTAATCAAAAATTTATCATATATTATAATGATTCGATTTTATTATATTAATGCCTAATTTTTAAATTTTTAATTATTCCAATTCAAATTTCTATGCCTTTCAATACATTATGAAGCGTCAGCAATGAAATAAATTGGCAAAGTCTCCGATTCTTTTGAAATACAAGCTCGGTGAATCTGAATGTAAGCAAAAAGGTGTGATTAGAAGGAAAATTGACCTAGATTTCTTGGATTCATCAAATCACTTTGTCATCTTATACCGAGACAAGTTGAATTACGCAGCAAATAATTTGGATTACTTAACCATTGTGAAACGTGATATCATCGCTAATTCGAATTTCGTTTGTTTAATATTTCATCACTCCCAATTACTCAATTACTCTCCATTCAATGGCCTCGCTTCCTTCACTTCCAGAAGAGTTGAAATATATAAATCAATACCTTCAACGAAGTCAAGAGACGCGAAAAAAAGAACCCGTGATATCTTATTATTGTAAGACTTTACAATATACTTATCTTCAACCTGCGCGTTTTAATAATTGTCTCCTTTTTCTTTTGCTTCTAGGTAATTATTATGCCGCAAAACTTGCCCTTGAAAAGGGAACAAAGGACAAGGAGAGCAAATTATTCCTTACCAAATTATTAGATATTCTAGAACAAGTAAGACATCTTTAAATAAATAAGCACTATAAATTTATATTTAAAAAATGATGAATTTTCTTAGGAAAAGAAAGAACTTGCAGATAATGAAGCTGTTACAAATGACATGGCTGGTGAGGCATATGTGGAGAATTTTGCACTAAAGGTTTTCACAAAAGCCGATAATGAAGATAGAACAGGAAAAGCGACAAGGTTTGCTTTGTATTATAGCAAACAATTAATTGATCAATTTAATTAATTTAATTCTAATATATATTTATATATAATATATTATTTTTTGGATATGTAGAAATACGGCTAAAACCTTCTTGGCAGCATCCTTATATATAGAACTGCTCAAATTATTTGGGAATATCAGTCCAGAGGTAATTTTTAAAAGTTTTTTACCTTTAATTTGGAACATTTTTATTTTAATATATATTAGGTTTCTAATGATAAAATTATTTTAAACAGCTAGAAGATAGAATAAAATATTCAAAATGGAAAGCGATCGATATAACCAAGGCGATAAAAGAAGGTCGAACTCCTATGGCTGGACCACCCGGAGGTGAACCCGCTCTGCAACAGCCAGAATCCAGAGAAGATAATCAGACTGTCAATAATCTTCCTGATAATTTCTCGTTCTCTTCGGTTCCTATATCGTCGGGTTTAGCATCAACGACGATCGAACCTTCTCCCTCTTTAGATGACGATACGTTTCCATCATTTCCATCAGCACCAACTCAAGATCAATCAAAACCACCTGGTTCTATTATCGATACTTTTACAAATGCTCCAGATTTGGTTTCGTCGTTTGACAGTTTGAATTTAACTGGGAAGCAAGCAGCACCGCCCCTTCCACCCAAAGTAAATGATTATGGAAATTTTCCTGATAATCCGTTCGCTCAGCAACCGTCAGCTCCGAACTATTCTCCCCCAATTGGCGCAAATCGAAATAATTTTTATGATATAAATCAAAATCAGACGCAACCCTCTCCACCACAAGCTCCTTCTTCTATACCACACGCAGGTTTTACAAATGATTACGCCCAACTTCAACAACAACAACATCAACAACCACCACCGACGCCACTTCCTCCTCACAGTTCCTTCACACCTCATCCACAAGCACCGCATCAGAATTACATTCAGCCAACTAATCTCGTCAGTCCTCCACCACATCAACATCCTTCATTTTCAGCACCTGCATCTTACCCACAAAGTCGACAAAACTATGGAATGTACTCATATCCTCAAACGCCACATGATGAGATAGATCCGACTACGGTCGCCACCGTTCAAAAATATTGTAAATTTGCAAGTAGCTCATTGGATTACAATGATGTTAAAACGGCTGTTGATTATATGAATAGAGCACTTGAAACCTTGAAACCATACAATCAATAACGCCAAAGTATAGGTAAATTATATTTTTATTAGAAATCATTTATATTTTAATGCTTGATTATAATAGAAAATACATTACATATAATAAGAGTGATATATGTTTATTGTTTTATGTGGACGTAATTTACATCACGATATTTATTAAATAAAACGAAAAATTTTAATACATTAAATTTCACAATCGGAATTTAAGGATATTTATGAATACGTATCTAATGAAGAAAAAAAAAATAACTGCGCGCTAAACGCATTTTGTCTACTATTCTATTCTATTTCTTTTTATACCGTTTATCCATAAATCAATCTAAGGACCAAATACCAAACGCATCCGAAAGCTCTAAAAGCTGAAAGGCACGTAACCGACCAGAACACTACCCGAAGCAAAAAAAAAAACAAGAAAAAAAAAACCGAGAAAAACAATTTAGTAAATTAATGGAACGAAATAAACTTATAAATAAAAAAAAATAAAAAATGTCGCGAGGAATACATACCGAAAGTTAAATAAGGATTATAGGAAATAGCAGCGTTTTTACTTAGAACCAATTCATTCCAAGTACTTGAAGTGAAAAATACAACCAAGGCGGCATTTGAAAACATCCAAGCTAACACTAAATTAGTCCTAAACATTTTATAGTAATCATCCTTTTTAGTAGCAGCATCCCGATGTTGTTTTTCTTCCTGTACTCTTTCGTTCAAATCTTTAATCATATCATCATAAACTGCGTTGATATTGACTTTTTCGTGTATTACCTCAACTTGCATCAATTTCTTACCATCTTTACCAGCGACAGGTAGTGCACCATTACCTCCGCCAGCGGTACCATTATCACCCTTGGTACCCCAAGAAACATCATGGGTATTACAAAAAGCGTAGACCATCAAAATATTTACATAAAATGGAATCAATAAAGTATATTGAATCAAGCAAGTGAACATGTGCCAAGGTTCACCATGTAAGATTGAAGAACCAAAATATAATCCATAAGTTGAAGCCAATGAGATTACTATATCACGAAACTCGGCACTTTTAAATGCGTTCTTTATACTTGCTACGTTTTGAAAATCAACGACCTCATTTACGCTAATGTAAACCGTATAAAATGCGCAATATAACATCGTAGCCATAATTATCGCGAATAATATTATACAAAGGAGATAAGTTTTTTTAGAACCTTGTGGTCGATTACCCATTGAACAGATAAACATTGTTACTATAACCATCATGTATAATGAACGAACTAAATTAAATAGATCATTTCCGTATCCTTTGAATGGGTCGTATTTTGGATTTGAAGTAGTAGCAGATGTCAAGAAAAAGAATGCCAAATAAAAGTTACCCTGAAAATTACACGGAGAAAGCAAATTAACTTAAAAGTACATGGGATACATAACATTTTCTCTTTTTTTTTTAAAAAAAAAAAATGAAAATTATTTAATTACCAGAGCAAACCAATTGAAGAGTAGATTGATCGTGTTGTAAATGAATTCGATTTGTAAAAGGATTTTACGCAAAAATGGTTGACCAGAAGACCAAATACGCATGAAATTAGCAACAGAATAGAAAGCGGCGAAGAAAGAACCATTTAACCATCTACGACGTTGTGAAATGAATTCCGGCACATTGTCCGGTACATCCGTTTCGGCCTTAGCGGACTAAAAAAAAAGGAGAAAAATAAAAAAATAAATAAAATTAAAAATTAAAAAAAGATTCCCATACGCGTCAATTATTTTGTTCTTTATTTACCTTCACGTATTTTAGAGTCCAAGCTTCATTAGTCTTTGCGACCAATTCAAAACACAATATACGATCTTCGGCCAGATACATATTAGATTCAAAGATACCAGCGGAGGCAGCACCATCACCATGCATAGCTTCACCTTTAAAATAAGAAGCCAAAGGACCAATGCCAGGTTTGGTATTCTTTAATGCTTTATATCTATAAGCAGAAAAGGCACCTGGTAATACAGAGATATAACCAAATACCGATTCCAAAGGTTTATCCAAAATATTTGACATTTTATACTCAAAATTTTGAGATGCAACCAAAGGATTAAGTAAATTTCTCCAAGTTTTGCCAAGTTCTGCCTTAATTTCACCACAAGCACCACCAACGTTCTGATCTCTGTCGAAAGCTTTCCAAAGATGATAAACGGAAGTATGAGAAGGTTTCGTACCAACATCCAATAATATACAAACATTTGGATTCAATAGGTTCGCAAAAGCGTTAAAGAACCATCTATGACTATTTAATTTCTTTGCATTTTTTTCCTTTAAACAAAAAAGAATTTGTACCGGAGGATTTTGTCCAGTTATATTAAAGTCTTTATCAACCATTAGATTAGAAGTGTATTCAAATAAATGACCCGTGACAGGCTGACCGAAGACATTATCTTGCATGATACCTTCCTGATAAACTCCCATTGCACCAAGTACTTTTAACACACGTTGATTTACTTTATTACGTCCATCTGCTACTACTACTACGACAACTTTTTCCCACCCATCTTTTCCCCACGTCTTTGACTTGTTCCTCGAGCATAAATGTGCTATGTTTTTAATCGCCGATGACATGGTTTTAATAAATAATCGATCATCTTCATTATACATTGTCATTACAATCATTAATTCTGTTTTCCTTTTATACATGTGTGGTCGAAGTAAATAATTGTTGCTTACAAATTCATCGGGATCACATGTTACTGCCGTATATCTCATGTGTGTAAATTCTTCGGTTTGTGATTTTACGCTTTGACGAATTTTGTCCGGTACGGGACAATCAATGACACAATTGCCATTTACCGGTTCTACATGTTTAACTGACTAATGGAAAATGAAAAAGGAGAAAAAAAAAATTTTTTTTTTCCAAAGAACAAAAGTTAGTGGCGTAAAATTAAATTAAGGACGTGTACAATGAATCTCACCTTTCTTTTATCAACATACGATTGTTGGAAATCTAAGGCCTGATGGTCAGGATTGCTATTGTGTCGTTGCAATTGATGATCATGATAAGGAGGATGGCTAAGATTATTATTATTATATCCATCATATCCATTATATCCATTATTATTATAGTATCCACCATTTTCATATCCACCGTTGTTGTATGCGGGATAACCTCCTTGGGGAGGTGGTTGTTCTTGATACATGGTTAATGATAAAAGTTTAGTGTTCTCTATGAAATTCGATGATTTGGTGAAAGATGGAGGGACAGAGAAAGAGAAAGAGGGAAAAGGTTTAAATGGAGGAGACGATTATTGATGGAAAGGAGGTTAAAGGGAAAGCGGATAATGAAGGTGAGATATAAGGAAAAAATGGGTATGAAAAAGAAAAAAAAAAAAAAAAGGACTTGGGGTAATGAATGTATATATAGGAAAATTCGGGGTGAGGAGGAGGGATACAAATGAATACTTTTAAGTATTCCTTTGACTTGAAAAAAAAATTAAAGTAATTAATTAATTAAAAAGAAGGTGAAAGAATCGAATATTTTAATAAATATTCGATTTTCTTTTTTTTTTAAAAAAAAAAGAGAGGGAAGGATGAGTTAATAATAAAAAAGGAAAACAAATTTCGCAGGACATTTTTTATTAATAATGATTTAGACTTAATTGTTGGATATTTCGTTTGCATTTCCTAACTTCATCACGAATGGTTCGTTTTCTAATTTCGACATTGCATATTATCAATGCTATTGGCTTATTAATTAATTACTGATGGCACGAATCATCCTTAAACCAAATAAAGCTAATTAAACATTTCCACAAAAGGGCGATGAAAACTTCTCGAAAAGCAATTCAATTGATAAGGTAACACGAGATTAATTCATGCATACACATTAAGATAAAGGTTAGAAAATATATCGGAAAAATCGGGAAAAAAAAAAGAAATTTTTTTTTTATTTCCACCGCATTTATTATGTGTTAATTATAATTAACAATTTATACCCACGTGCAGTAACAAAATTTAGAGAATAAGGTAATAACCGCGTTTTTTTTTTGTCGAATATTTTTTTTTATTTTGGTGTGTTAACATGATATTTTTTTGCCAGATAAATTCTCTTTCCCCGGTTCTATCTTTTGGATTCTGATGTCCGTTTCAAGGTGAAATTGATCGCAAAGAAAAAAAAATAATTGCCAAGTTAGTTTAGCATATTTGTTATTCCATACTACGTTACAGTCTTATCTCATTGCGTATGACGCATGCACTGAATGGATCATCTCCGATACAAAAGTTTTAAGACCAGTGGAATAAGTGATCGGTGCATACAAATAAAAATAAACTCTGAATTTGACGAAAATAACTTTAGCTGTCTAATTCATATTTGAAGATAGAGCATAATAATGGCACTTTTTATTACATTGATGAAAAAAAAATTTTTTTATCTTGTCTAATTTTATAAAATTGGTATTTAATATTTATTATGGATTATTATGATAAAAAAATGTCTAAATAATTCGTATAAAGAAGGAAGAAAAATTCTACATAAAAATACATACATACATACACATACATACATCTATAATTACGTACAGTACATACATATATGTTACTCATCTCATATGCTAACTACTAATTGAATACAAATTATATCACAACCTATTATAGGACGACTATATCGATTTCACCAATAAATATTGAAAGAAAGGTTGATGTTTATTTTTTATGGTTGTCGAAGTTTTATCTTCCAAAAATTGTACCTCAATCTTTCTTGGTGCAAAGAAAAAATCATTCCATTTGTCAAGATACTCATTTATTACTAAAACGTTAGCTTCCATTTGTTTTTTATCCATGGTTTCATTCATCCATGAAACCCATTTCAAACTAACAGAGATTGAATCACTATTAATCGAGTTTGCACCAAGGGTTGAATTTAATCCGTTGATAAAAAACTGCCAATCAGTTATTGAAATGTTATGGGAATTTAGTTCTTTTGAAGGATAATGATTGGTAAATCCTCTTTGAATTGAATAACTATCTTTTGGTAACACTTTGAATGGTTGCGATAGTGGTTGTGGCCTGAAATTGGATGGGGTTGGACGCGTCCAAGTATTACAATATTTATGACATGCTTGCTCAACCGTCAAAGGTTTAAGCTTTGAGATAATATTATTAATGGGACAGAAAGACGGTGTTTCACGTGTCTGTTGTGATGGTAGTGTAACCATTGATGAGACTCTTTGGTGACGTTTTGGCAACGGCGGGGATTGTTCCAATGATTCTTCATATGATGGGGGTACTTCATCATTGAAGGGGTCAATGCGATCCGGAAGTGGTGGCGCAGTGGGCGGAGTCAAAGATGATTCAGAGGTGACTTTAGGGTAAGGTTTGGATAATAATCTTTCCGCTACTTGATCCCTTGTTTCGTTTGCAAGGCAATTTCGAAGATATTCTGGATCGCATTCAGGAAAGATTGTTCTCAGACTTGCAACATTTTGTTCAACTGTTACAGATGATATTTGTTGTTGGAGGTTATTCATATTATTAAAATGGTTGAAATGAATATTTGAAAAACCATTCACAATATGTTGTGTTGTTTCCGGTGTTGAAAATAATCGTTTAACCTCATTTTTCATTTCAATTTTGAATTCGGCCTTACGACTACGTTTCTCTTCACGAAACCGATGCTTCTCTTCTCGACGACGATGTTTCTCTTCGCGACGGAAATTTTTCTCTTCACGACGAGCACTCTTGTTGCGACACATGTTTAATTAATACTTGATTTTATCACAAAAAAAAAGGTTTTATATATGGAAACTAAAAAATGAAGTATTTTTTTCTTTTGGTGTCAATTTCAATTGATAAATTTCTAAAAAAAAATATTTTTTTTCTTTGGTGTCAATTTCAATTGATAAATTTCTTGCAATTTTTTCGTCTTTAACGAAAGACCGACTTTATTTATTCAAGTTCTAACAGAATTCTAAAAAAGAAAATTCAATCTTTCATCCACGCAAAAAGGAAAAAATAAAAACTTGGAAATACTTGGCAGAAAAAGTGGTGCATCTAATGAATAGCCATTGAAAAATGAAATTTTCTAATTTTATTTTACTAAATATGGAATGAGTATCGGATTCTGCCTTGTAAATTACCCGAAATCATTCTTTAAATAAAAGATCAGTGTAACCGTAATTAGGAGAACTTATTCCGTGAGAAACGCATACATTATTACATTGCTCAACATTTTATATTTTTAATTTTTCACATTTTAGGTCTTATTCTTATTTTTCAATGTTTTTTATTTGGAGCAGCATAAAGTTTTCCTTGAATCGTTTCTTTTTGGAAGCAATTTTGTCAATAATTTATTAATTAAAAATTTTTTTTTCTTAAACATAATCGATGTTATGCATCTCTTTGTTCTTAAAAGTCATACTGCATAAAAAAAAATTCCGTGCAATCTAATCTGTATTGCAATCTTGCTGCGTCAAGACTCGGACGAGCGGTATCTAGTTTATCTATCGACCTCACTCGACTCTTCTTTAGGAAACAAAAATTATTTTTTGTATTCCTGGCATTGGAAATCATTTTGTGATATCTTTGATTTGTATTCAATTTCAGATTCATCTTTTATAAATTTTTCGTAATCATCATATCATAAAGTTTTTAAAAAATAGAATCCGCCACAAAAGTTTAAATTATAAAAAAAAAAAGTAATCTTTTTTTTTTTTTTTTGTCGAGAAACTTTCTTGGTCAAGAAGAATAGGAAATTCAGCCACATTTTTTTAATCTATCCTAATTGTCTCATGATTTCTTGTGAAAATCGAGTTTTATAAATAGCTTTGTGATATCAAGTAGGAAACGATAACGCAAATTCCCGCGTGATCGCTATTCCAAAATTTTTTTCACACGTTTGAACAAGTTCATTCATATCACCACGAAACCTTATCCGCAGATAGAAACGCAACTACCATCCTTATTATGTAGGAAGTTATGTATATGCAAAAAAAAAAAAAAAGAGAACAAAGACAATTGTCAAAAGTGTTTAATTAGGAAAGATTGGTACCGATAATCACGCAGCAGAAAGTCCTTTAAACGATTTTTAAGTCGTCCGGCGTTTGGTCACCAAAGTGGCGCTATAATAGTACTGGATTATAATAACCCCACATATTACAACATGTTTGGTTAAAAATTATAGTAACTTGAGGTATTAGTAATTCTTATGATGACATGTCATTGTTCATGTTGGTAGCATCCTCGCCCAAATTTGGTGGTATTCTTGGGCTTAAGTTGCCTTGTAAAGTTATTATCGCCAAAACTTTCATTGTTTTGTTCATAACAATAGAAGAAACCTTATACAAAATCATGTACGGTGAGGAATAAATTTTGTATGACATGCATCATAAAAAATCCCTGATCATCATCATTACAAAGGGAATTTGTTATATAATAAATCACTTATTTTTTATTTTGTTCACAAATATCTACATTTTTATCATTTATCTCTTTTTTTTCCCCAAAAAAAAATACTTTGCACGACAACATAACTCAGGTGAGATATATATATATTAAAAAGTCTCCTGAAAATTATTTAATAATTTTTTTTACGTTTTTCTTTCTCCTTTATTTTTCTTTGTTCTCATCTCAGTTATTCATAAACCCTGAAAATAAAAAGTTTTTACCTTTTGAAGGCAACTATATAACTTAATTAACAAATTTTTTACATAAATTTTTTTTTCCTAAAGAAATAAAATGAACAAAATGAATATGAGGAACAGCAAGAAAGTTGACCAAACTACACCATATGCTATCTATGGATTTTTCCGTTCATTTCGAGAATCTTTAAATGATGATAGCGATTTTTCGGATTTTATTAGTACATTAACCATTACACCGATGAAAGCCGTGGTTGAAAATGTATTACCATTCTTCCGTCGTTCTTCAGACCCAAGCTTATTAACAAACTTTCAAGTAATGATAAGACAGGCCGAACAGAATAGTGATTTTGAAAGTACTTTTATGAGAGTTTGTGATGCCATTGATATGCTTGAAAAAGTTGAAATGGCATTAAGAAGTGACAGACGTTTAATGGATGGTTATCTAAAAGCAATGCAATTTGATAATGCTTCTGCTAGTCATCAGCAAGTTTGGAGTGGGTTACAGCGGTTTTTGAATGAGGAATGTGATTTGGCAACAAAAAGAAGAATGGAAAGAGTTTTTGCGGAACAAAAAGCAAGTGATGAACTCGGTAATTATCAAATGATCATCGGTTTCAGATGTTTTGAAAAATTCTTCCAAATTATTGGATGATTTTGTTTTATGCGCGTCTTTTTAAATTTATCACCGAATTTATTCGAATTTTTTTTCCTTCTAAAATAGGACTTAACGAAGATGTTCTTGCTACGGCACACGCGCTGATTGGTGATGATGGATTGTACATTCAACTTCTTGAAACACTTCAACTAAATAATCGACAAAATCTTCCTTGGGAAACTGTTATCACCAGGATTCAACGAATCATTGAGACTAACAAACCAAGGGTCTGGCCAATGTTGCGCAAATTTTTGGACGAAGTTCACAGTGGCCGTGGTATGGATAAATTTGTTTTTTGTATATAATGAAATTATGTAACGATTAAACCAATAATAACATGCATTTCTTCTTTTTTAATTCCAGGCATCGATGAACTCGAATATAACCTCTATTGGGAATATATCGAGAATGAATATGCTGAATATGCTGAAGAGGAGAATGAAACTCTTTATATTGAACAAAAACTTGCTAATATCGCTCTAGATCCTGAAAAAGATAGCGTTAGCGTCGTTGAACCTCAACAAACACAAGATCAACGAAAGCAACAGAGAGAAGTTCTTGGCGCGGTTTGATTAATAGAAGTATGCGCCTACTATTATTGATTTCTCGAAATTTTATTCTCAGCCCATTTAAATTTCTCTCACGATTTCACTTTGGTTATTTAAAATCAAAAAAAATCACAAATCCACCCATGTTCTTTTATGACGACGTTTTTTCTTTTTCCATTATATAATTACGAAATCCTCAAAAAAATTGTCAAAATCCTTTACAAAATAATCCAAAAAAAATTTTTTTTTGCACTACTTTTACTCTCTTAATTTCATTCTTTGATATATTTGGTGTAGTTTACATCTTAAAAAAACAAAAAAAAAAAAATTTCATTATATATTCGTTGAGACTTATACAAGTTATTAATGAGCAGTTGTAATAGAATTGTTTGGGTGGCTTTATAAAAAAAAAAAAAAAATAATCCTTTTAAATATATTTTCCTTTTCTCTTTATTTCGATCAACTCGTTTTTATCGCGCTTCTTTATACATATTCCCGTTTACCCTTTTTTTTCTTTTCTTTTTCTTTTAAAATTGTATATAAATTGATAAAAAAAAAATTTCTCATTTCGATTTTTATTTTTTTTTGTTAATATTATTTATAAAATATAAAAAAAAATTTGATTCACTTATATAAACTGTACATTCTACATAATGTATATATATATAAAGATTAAAAATATAAACTTTTTTCCCTTATTTTAATTTCCCTTTTTTTTTTTTTTTTTTTTTTTTTTTTTTTTCCCTTTATCGTTAACTTTAATTTCGAGAGAACAACTTCAATCAAAATAATAATAAAAAAAAACTATAAAAAATAAAAATTACTTTTTTGTATTATTACATATTTTGATGAACAAATTTCACATGTACGATAAGATCTTAAAAATAATTTTCCGTTTTTACCAGGTAATTAAAGATTTGTTTATTAAGAACTTGTTTTAAACAAGTCTATTAAGATTGATATTCGGAGTAATAAATTCGGACCCTTTTAATGAAGTAGTAAAGTAAATTTATGAACTTTTTTCAACATAAATCAAAATCTTTTTACCAATCAAAACGCGTCTTGAAAAGAAAATACAGTTGATAATTCTCGTATTCATAATCGTATTCATACAATTAATATCAAAAGAAATTGTTGGAATAGAAAAAAAATATATTTTTAACAAATAGGTAGCAAAAAGCTTTTTTTTTTTTTTTTTTTTTGTTTCGATATAAATTTGAAAGCGAAAATATAATTCCTAGGCGCTTTCATAGCATATATCTTTAACTTTATAGCATTGATAATTAAATTCTGTAGCATTTATACATTTAACTCTAGCATTTATTTATTAAACTCCGCAGCAATTTTTATTCATTTATTTAAATTTACATTGTATTATTTAATATTATATTTTAAACAATTTGAATATCAAAGAGGTATTTATTAATTTTGATTGTAGAATCATAAATCATATTTCTATTAAATGGAAATATAGATGATTAATTTGCTAAAATATTAAAAGATTTGATTTTCCAATTCTATAAAAGAATTTTAAACATCTGTTATTTTAATATTATTTTATTTATATAATTGATTTGTTATATTATATAGAATAGTAAATAATTTTAATAATAATTAATATTATTATAGAAATAAAAAAATTCATTTATAAAACATAACTTTACTTTTGAATTATGATTATATAATTAATAATATATATTCAATTAATTATATTAGTAAATTATCTAATATAATGTAAATAAAAATATTGACTAATTTAATTTTATTAATTTTAAAAAAAAAATCATTTTATTTCTTTAATTTTATTATTTCATATTAATTTTTATATGATTTTTTTTTTAAATTTATTAATTTAATAATTAATTAAATGAGTTTGTTTATACTAATTATTTATTAATAAAATAAATAATTTTTGATATTAAAATTCAAATAAATTCATTACATATTTGATTTTTTTTTGATTTAATTAAGATGCAAACAGCTTAATCATATCAAATAACTAAGTAATGCTAAAAATTTTACCAATCATTGCCTTTATATATGAAGTCAAAATAAATCATTTCAGATTCTAAAATGGTTGAAATAGTTAAAATATTTTGATTTTTGGATTATTCAAAGTCACTATAGTTAAAATAATATCATATTATATAATTTTTCATATATAAAAAATTTTTAAAAACAAAAAATGTATGCTTATTGTATCGATTCTCATAAAACAACTAACATTTTATTTCTTGGGATTAAACAGATTCAATGAACTAATTTGATTAATTTTTAATTAGCTAATCTTAAGATAATAGTGATCATATTTTAATAAAGTAAAATTTATTAAATTATAATTTTAGTTATTAATTCAATCATAATTATCTCAAGATTAGCTGATCAGAAATCAATGAAATTTAGCTTATTAAATCTTTTAATCATGAGAAATTAAATAGTAATTATTTCATAAGAATCAGTGTAATAATCATAAATTTTTTGTTTTTTGAAATATTTTATGTATGAAAAATTATGTAATATGATATTATTTTGACCATTTCAACTTTGATTTTAACTTTAATCTCTAAATTCAATTTTTAGGTTTTCATTTTAACTTCATATATAATTGTTTTATTTGAATCAAAATTTTATTAGTAAAAATTCTACATGTAATCAATTATAGTTACATCATAGCAGTTAAATAAATCATGAAATTTTACCTTATTTTACATTATTTGATTAACATTATTTTTTTTTATATTCCAATTTATTAAAATGCTAAAATTAAATAAACATGCTAGAATTTTTTGAGAAATCATTAAAAAACATTGGAAAAAACTGAAGAAGTATCAAATACTGAATCTGATTTAATAGTGATAAAATTACAGATAAAATACAATTATAAAAATCAAATACATTATAACAATTAGTCAAAAATATATATAGTAGTATGCAAAAAAAATGGCAATTTTTAAAGTTATGATAGTTATATAAATATTACACTAATTAAAACATACAATATATTATTTTAAAGCTAATAAGTTATAAATTGTATTTAAAAAAAATTATGGTATTTATTTACCATTTTTTTTTCCAATAATCCTATTATAATATCATAAATTGAATTTATAAAATCAATTAGAAGGCTTTTTTGTATTTATTATTTTTTACTTTTATTCAAAAAACTTTTAATTTACTAAATTTTTTTAGCCTATATAACTTTACATTCCTTTTAATAATTAAGGTAATAGTTTTTAATAAGTTTTGGATCTAGATTATTAAAAGAATAATCCATGACTTTTAAAATACTATTTTCAAAAAAAAATTAGTAAAATATCAAATTACTTAATAAAATGATTAAAATGCTATCTTAATAAAGAATTTTTTACATTTAATCTCTAATTTATTTCAATTTTTTTAAGTTTTTAGTAATAGTTTTATGTTAATCTTTATGAATGAATATATTTTAGTAGCATTGTATACTTCTTGCCTTCAGAAATGTAATCTCATTTAATGTTAAGTTTTTTGTCTAGATAAAATCACTTTAAAGATTAATAAACTAAAAGAGAAATAAAAATAAAATAATTTTATAAAGGATGAAAAAGAATAAGTTTATTTAATGAATTATAAATAAATACAATAAAATCCTCTGATAGTATTCTGTAATGCGTTTCAAGTGAATAAAACTATTTAATTCAATTCTACTAAAAAGACAATGCGAAAATTCTCCTTTTTATAATTAATTTCTTTCTTATGGCTCTGTTACGGAATCTTTGTAAAGAACAATATACAGTATTTGCGGCTTGGATACAGAAAAACCAGTCATTTTGACATACATTGTTAGCTGCAAGATTAACATAATCAAAAATTGATATTAATTGAAGTTGAGATCTAACTTTCTCACATCAATGTCACGTTTACGTGACATTAATATTGATCATTTCCAAACATGTATAACTAATAAAAAAAAAATATGAATTTAAATAATGCTATTACTGAAAATACTACTTTAAAAACATGTTTTAGACGTTTAAAAATTTATGTACTTGATTTTTTGATAGAAAAAGTACTTGTAATATGTGCAGATTATTTAATAAAAATCTTCAAGTGAATTTATGGAAAAGACAGATAGAAGAACATAAAATCATAAAATATATCTGATGTAAAATAGATAATCCTTTTTTTGATGAATTTATTCAAATAATTTCAAAAATTTTTAAGAAGCAAAAGGATGCAGGAAATATTGAATGATTAAAGAAGGTTGAAAAAAAATTTAACCCTTAAAAAAGATGATAAAAGATATTAAAAGCTATAATAAATAAAATACAATGCCTCTTATTATAATAATAATACATATAATATTTAGAAATTCTATATTTATAAGGTTATATATTATTGCATTAATAAAAAACATTTAAAAGTTTTGGTTCATTAAAATTTTACTAATATTGAATAAAAAATTTATATATTGGTATTAATTTTTTATTATAAAAAAATCGACATTTTTGAAAAAGATCAACATCAAGGTGGGAAAGTATCAGATTAAACAGAATGAATAACTAGATAGTTTTATCATATTTATTATATTAATCTTACCGTATTCATCCGAAAATAAGCAACATTTAAAGGTATCTCGGTCAATATTTATCCAAAAGTTATGAAAGTTATAACATTCGATTGCATTCAATTCCTCTAATTGAGACAAATTCAATGAGCTAAATTTCATTATTCTGTGATCACTGAATCATGAGATATCGTCGATTGAAGTTTTGATACTAAAAAATAATACATACCCGAAAATAAGCAACACTATAACAAAAACATGATGCTTATTTTCGGAGGAATATGGTATTTGTATATATTACATAAATAGCATTTCTTGAGTTAAGATGTTTTTTGCTGTGTCGTGATTGTGATAAAGTTATTGTATTTAATTCGAAGGACTGAATTAAATCGAATAAGTTAACAACATTAAGGAGTCGTAAAGATCCGAAAAGTCAATTCCAACAAATATGTCACAAATGACTCAAATTTCAGGCGCAGTCAAATTCCAAGAGTGACACGTCAAAATTAGATAAATATGCGTGAAACGTTCAATTTTTAGAGCAAGATATCCTGTACCGGGGAAACCGAAATATATTTATTATGCGATAAAACTATTCAAAAATTTATTGTATAGATATATGATAAGAAACTAGACCGCTATGTCTATATTGTGTGAATATTTTTAAAAAAAAAATACTAGTGTTACGTAAGAGAGGTAATTGATTATAGTTTTTAGTTTATATAATTGCGATGTAACGAAAACTGCATGTATATCGAATTTAAAGAAGTATAATAAATTAATTTCGGACATTTTATTTTTGAAACAAAAAAATGATTGAAGAATCGTTTATAATATAAAATAATAATGAAAGGAATAATCAGGGTTTTTTCCCAAGAAAAAAATACCATGAAATTACTAAGTTATACCAGGAGAGAACAATGAATTATACTTTTTATATTCGTCAAACTTTCACACTTTTCATTGGTATGCTTTTTCTTTATAATTTTCCCACATTCTTTTAAAAATTTCTCGAATATTTTTTTCTTTTTTATGAAAATTTAAAGAATAAAGATGGTAAATTAAACCATTTTTTTTTGTAAAGTAAATCATTCCTTTTTTGAAAATCCAAAGAACCTTATCAAGAAAGACAAATATTACTAAAAAAGCCGATGAAACGAATTATATTAATAAGATGCATATCGTTTCGTTTATTATAAATTTATAGATACAAAGGGAATTCGAATACATCGGAACAATCGGAAAATCGAGGTATTATAATATAAATTACATTATTTGTATTTTTTTTTTTAATAATTTATTAAAATTTACATATCTTTTAGGCTTTTTCTGCTTCTCAATTATTTATCAAAGCAAAGTCAATTCTCAATCGAAATATTCTTTAAAGCAACAGAAGTATCAAAAAATTTACAAATTAGTATCAAATATTGATATTCATAATTGGCATAATTTAAAAGTGGAAGCTTTATATAATAAGTCATTTTTAGTGCGATAGGATAAATAAAACATTTAGATTATTTAACAATAATTACTAGGGACAGAGAATTTTTTTCACCAATAAAAATATTTTTTTCACATCCACCGGTAACATTAGGTAATAAAAAGTTTCAATTACTATTGGTTGATGTAATACCGGTGATGATCACCGCCGGTGATAAATAGCAAACAGCAGATCAATTTATTGTTGAACACGATATTATTTGTGAAACAAATATACATGCATCTCATTTACACTACATTATTATTTAATGTGAAAAAAATGGATTTTAAAATTTTGTCTTGCAATTTAATTCAAATATGACTTGCAAGACATATAAATCGTTTAACCCGTGTTTCGTTTTCATATTAAGTTATTTGCTTTTTAGAGTTGAATCATTTACTCCAGTAGGACGTTTTGCTCAATCCTCTGTTCTTGTTGAAAACAAACTTTATTTTTTTGGTGGTTTTAATGGCGAATCTTGCAGTAATGAAGTTTTTTATCTTGATGTATCTCAAAAATTTGATTCAGAATTTCCGCTATGGACGGATCTAACGTTAAATTCAGGAATAGGTTTTAAGAGTTGTTGGTCAACTACTGTACTAACTAACAATGATAATAACCCGACTATATATCTAATCGGAGGGTTAATGCTAAACCAAAAGAATGAAGAAGCATTCACTTCGCTGGTATATTCATTCAATCCAAAATCGGGACAATGGAATATGCCTATAATCAAAGGAAATATGCTAGAAAGTCATAGAAATTTTGAAGCTATTGCTGATGACAGTGGAAATATATATTGCTTTGGAGGAATTTTAGCTAATCTTATAGGAAATATTAAATTTTATGATAATATGATTATATTGAATACCAGGGATTTAACATGGACATATAGTTCTGTCGTGAATGCACCTCCAAATAGAGATATTTATACTGCAACATTATTATTAGATGGGAGGATCGTATATATCGGAGGTCGTGAAATGACTAATAATGAACTTGATGTGGATATTAATCAAATAAACATTTATGATACGAAACTCAACGTTTGGTCCACAATTGTGAGTATATTAATATTATGAATTATTATAAAAATAATAATTTAAATTAAATTAAATTTAGCAAGCTAAAAGTAATGTTATAATTGAGTCACGTCATTCACACTCGGCTGTATTAGGTAATATTTCTTCAAAAAAAATTTATTGTTCGTTTATAAATGCATAATAATTTACTGTAAATTATCATTAGCTCCTGACGGAAGAATCATTATATATGGCGGTGAAAAATTAACTGTGGATTCTGTTGAAAATAAAGTTTCTCCATACTTGGCGGTTTTAAATACCCAAACAACTCCATTTGAATGGACTTCCCCACCAGTTTTATCAAATATTGGTGAAGTTCCATTACTAACTGTTCATTCAGCAAATTTAATTGGAAATTATATGATTGTAGCTTTCGGTAATATTTTTTTATCGAATCCTCTTTAGACATTCAATACTCTTATTATTATTAAATTTTTTTTATTTAATTATAGGAAATATTACTACATCACCATTTCAAAATATTAATTCAAAAATTTACTTGTTGGACATTAATAATTATACTTGGGTTGATAGATTTGAACCTGAAATTAAACTCGTACCACCTAATTCTTCTCCAAATAAAACAACTTCCTCAGATTCTACAAAAAATTCTGACGGTAAAGGTCAATTAAATACAATTATTGGTGTAATAAGCGGAATTTTCTGTACAGCTATAATCATTACAATCGGATTTTTTGGTTATAAGTGGTATACAAAGAAACAAATGAATGAAGTTATTAGAATTCCTGGTAATACATCAGCATAATTATTAACGGTTTAAATTACCAATTCAAGTTCTTGAAATCAAGTCATTTATTATTTATTACTGGAAATTAATTTCCTTTACAAAGAAATAGATTTTTTTATTATTTTTAAGTTTTAAAGAATAATCTAAGATCACTAAGCAATTTTTTTCATAATATTATTGTTTAAACATTATTTATTTGTTTAGTTTAATGTACGAAAATATTTGCTGAATAAAACTTTAAAATATCTCGTTTAATTAGATAAACCTTTCGAGTATCCTCTTATCGGAGCATGCCTAAACTAACAGAATTTTTTCACAAATCCTACAATCGTTGTTTCTAACGCTTTAAAGTTATATTTAATTCTAAATACTTGTCTATCTTAAAGACTTCATTTATTAATAATGAATTTATGCAATACAGATATCGCCTCCTCTTATTTTCAATATTTGAAATACTTCTTTCAAGAAAAAATCTTCCGTATCTCATCAATTTCATTTTTTAAATTGAATATTTAATTTCTTATAAGAAAATATGAAACTTTATTTTAATGGACTATATTTATAATTGGGTTTCCATACTAAAGGATTATATCATCCAAGAATTTCTTTTATACATTTTATTTTTATGAATGTGACCGCATTAGATATCATGAAATTTATTAGTGGAAATGCATCTTGGGATTCCGCGAAATAATAAGTACAATAATACTCTTGCATAAGAAATTTTCATCCAATATCTACTTTCGACATATTTTGAGATAATCGAAACAAAGTATAAAGTAACTATTTCCGAATCAAAAATATCCATATCTAGGAGGTTAAAATATCATCAGTTGGTTCATGATTTTAAACTTCGTAAATCATTTCTATTAACTTACTTTTAAGGATTGAAGCAAATCGTCTTAACCTAGTTAGTATTTTAAGATAAAATGTTGTCCAATCAATTTATCTTGATAATTTCAATTTAATATATTCAATTAATTCCTGAAGAAAAGCTCATCAACGGCTTACAACATCTTTATCAATGCAATGAAATGATCTCACCACCATAAATGTACCTACATCAGATTATTCATGTGCGCGGAATATTTCCACATTCGGATCCACTTCAATTTCGATTGCATTTTCGTAGTATTCTTCTTCATTCTCTAATATTTCGATAAAAATAAAAAACTTCGCCGAATTCTCCGAGCCAAAGAATTGAATCGCGGATGCTCAAAATTTCAAATCTACAATAAAAAAATGATGTAGATTCTCGTGATCTGACCGCCTCAATTATACAAAAATTCATATTTTTCTTATAATAATTTTTTATCTCGTGACTTTATATAATGAAAATCGTAATGGCATAAACTATTTTCGTTATTTGAAACTTGGTATACTTAGCACGCTTTTTGTCTGTAATTGTCATATTACAAAACAAAAATAAAATCTTTCATTTACATGAACTCTAAATAAAATATCAAATACATTTAAAAAAAAATTTATATATAAAAAATATCGGTTGACCGGATAATTTTAAACTTTATGTTGCGAGAAATTTAAAAATTATTTTTGCCCGGCCTATCCTAAAATTTTTTTCTGTTAAAAAAATAATTTTTTTAACTTATATTATTTGGTACAGAATATAGAATGAGTGTTTATATTTAAAAATGAGTTCAATTACAAATTAAATAAAAAAGTGCCTAAAATTTCATAGATATTTTCCGTATTGAAAAAGCTGCATCTTTTTTAACCATTGTTTTTTTTTTGTTTATTAAACAATTAAAATATCGCTCTTTATTTACTTTTTTAATTGTCTAAACATCGTTTACATTTTTTTTATATTTAGAATATTGCTGTTGCTTTAGCAATACTATTAATGTAATTCAAGTATTTACGTGTAAAATAGGACAAAATTCACATTAAGGTTTCATTATAATAATTACTAAAAAAAAGACATAATCCCTTTTAATAAATTTATTCTAATAGTATAAAAAAATGGAAATTGATCGTTCTATTAAGATCTAGTTTAAATCATTTAGTTTGAACAAGATATTAATAGCAAACTTTCCATATGTTAAAATACATAATCAAATGAACATTGGCCAGAAATTGATAAAAAAAAAATAGCAGATTGTAAACTCGATTAGAGTAGAGAGTATTGTTAACTCGTAAAATTGTGGAGGAAGAATATGAGGCGAATGCTATGAAAAGGAACCAAATTAAAATTTTATTTATTATTTAATAATTTTTTTTTGCCATTTAGTCACTATATAGGAAATATTGCGATTGAAAAGAATTGTATTGTATTATTGGCAAAGCTATTGAACATCTTTAAAATAATCTCAAAATCTTAAATTCAATTGCCACCGAATCTTTCATCATTCCTAGCAAGCATTCTAGTAGCCTATTTAATTTATGAATTACTTCCTTCTTTATATCGCTAACATATTGTTTATCTCATGCATGCAATTCATCAGTAAATTGACTGTAAAAGAGTATAAATGAGTCTTGAAAAAACACGTGTTATATTTAAATATTAAAAATATTAAAAACTTGGGAACTAATAAATTCATAATTCTATTTAGTTTGTCTTTAATTTCAAGAATAAGTTGAATAATAAATTAAAATGATAAAAGACGTAATCGTCAACTAAAGGTCAAAACAATTATAATCATAGTATCAAAATAGATTGCAAGCAAAATCCGTCCAATTAAGTAAACGAGCAGAGAGCCGATTTCCACCGCATCCCTGCTGTTTAAATCAAGTTAACAAGAGAAATTTAAGGACGCAAAGTCTAAAAAATAAATAATTATTTCATTCGGCCACTAAGCGATCCATTCCACTAAAAAATAATAAAATCTTACCTTTACTAAATTGTAGCCTAAAGAAAATAAAAAATAATTTAATGAAAGATAAAATAAAACATAAAGAAACCAACTCAATAAAGAAGAAACTGCCTAAAAAATATCCAAAAAATTCAGTGAACAAAAATAACGAATTAATAATAAAATAAATAAAAATAAGTCTTACCTTACCGTATTAGGTCAAACAAACCCTTCATCACTAAAGATTTGAATAGTTCATAAGCAAAAATAACAATTTAAAAAAAAGGAAAGATAGAACTTTAAAAAAGAAAAAATAACTTACTTGATAGCTTTATCTGATTAGATTGAAAAAGAAACAATTTAATTATTTTTGATCTAATTTTATTTAGGTTGGAAAATATTTATATTTTCGAAACAAATTTTCAAATAAATATAAACATGAACATACTGAAAAACCGTACTTCCGTCTTGTATTCAAAAAATACTCAATTTTCAAATAATTTACTATTAAGAGATTACAAAATTCGTTACATTTATGAATTTAAAGCTGTTCACAAGGTATTGTTGTACTAGTGGGTATCTAAACAAAATTTGAATTTTATTGCACTTTCGTTATCCCTGACCTGGGAAGATCATTCTATAGACATGTATTACTCTTTCATTCATTAGGTCATCCCTAAATACTCTGATTCTTAAGAAATTATTCCTAACAACCCTAGAATTACATTCCCACTCGCTCAATAATACTTGGAAATTTAATATATCATTGTTATTTTATAGTATTTCGGTTAGAAAAAGGATGGTTGCCATTTTTTGAAAGGATCAATAAGAGAATTTAAGAAACATAATGTCCATTATTACTGGATTACACCATTTATCAATCGTGAAAGCTTGGTAATGAATTAATTAATGAAAAATAGAATTGTGAAATTTACTATAGAATTGATACTCGAGAATCTGACTTTAATTTTTTTATCAAAATCATAATTAATGAAAATATAATTTAAATATATATATAATTTATTTTATAATTTGATATTTCATATTCAAAATTAAATTTTTTGTTATGTATAAAAAACTTACATAATCAAAATATGATTTTACCTTTTCTTTAATAAGTTGATAAAATAATAAAATGGATAATGAACAGTAATAAGAAAGGATATCAGTGTATAGGGCATCTTAAGAAAATATGTATAGGGAATAAGGTATTGATAAAAGAATTTGATAGTGGCAGTGGAGAAGAAGGAATTTGCAAGATTATCATTGATGTGGTTGTGATACCTACAAACAAAAGTAAAAGAGTTAAATGTTATAATAATCCATCCGTCAGTATTTAGTTTGTACTTACAGGCTTATTAACGCAGCGATTCTTTAAGATCCACATATAACCGACTCTTTCCGGGTTACGTGGATTTAGTTCACGAGTTTTAGATTGTGATATTCGCTTCTTCTTTTTCTAATAATTTTACTGGAGCCTGCACTTTCCACAGTAGCACTTGAGGAAGTATTTCTCCTTCATACTGTATTTGTCCGGTATCCAAATGCAGTTAAAATATTCCTTTACAATATTAAACTTATGCGGGAATCCAGAATCTTAATTTTTGAAACTTAGGACCCGGTCCTAAGGACCGGGTCCCACCTTGGCGGTCCCATGTTAATTGTC